TGCCCCCATGCAGGATGACCCTTCTCATCCCTCCCTGGCCAAGGGTCTCCCTTTGTCTCCCCTGTTCCCAGATGGCTGCACCCTCCCCACATGTGGCTGACTCCCCTGAAGCCTGGAGCCCAGCCGTAGGGGAATCAGGTCTGGCCACCTGTCCTGTATTCCAGGCACCCCATTCTTGGTTAGGGGCCCCTTGTGCACCCTGGGGGAACAGCTGTGGGGTGCCATGGGTCGCAGCCTGGGTTCCTGAGCTGTGCCCTCGTCCCAGACCCAAGTTCCCCCTAGGTGAGCTATCTGCATGTGGGGGCACAAGGGGCCAGTTCTCACTGGGCTCAGGCTCCCCAGGTGCTGAGCCTGGCCCTCATGTCGTCCTCAGCCTGACCTGTGGTGGGGACCAGCAGCCTCTGGCAACATCTTAACTCTCACAGCCCAAGGCAGGCCTTGGAGGAGCTCAGGCAACACTCCTGGCTTTGCATCTGTGAAGACAGAAGCCAGGGAGGGCACTGGCCTGCCCCAGGTTATGGCACTGAGCTAGAGTTACCTGGGTCACCTGTCTCTCAGCACAGTGCCCTGACTTCTGGCCTAGGGCCTTGGCCAGCACTGGCACAAGGTGCCTGAGATGGGGGGAGAGGGCCTGCAGAGGACACAGGAGCTGTAGAGGAGTACAGAGGACTGGGGTTCAGGGTGTCCCAGGCAAGGTGCCCTACTTCCTGGCCTGAGCCTTGAGCAGAGACCCTGGGATCCTCCTCTCTACAGCAGAGTCACAGCATCCTCCCTGGTGGCTTCATTCAGGAGTGGAAGAAAGAACAGCTGTAGCAGGGAGTGGTGGCACACACTTGTAATACCAGCTCTCGGGAGGCTGAGGCAGGAGGATTGGCTCAAGTTTGAGGCCAGCCTGGGCTACATTGTGAGTTCAAGGCCAGCCTGAACTACATAGTGAGACCCTGTCTAAAAAAAAAGAAAGAAAAAGAATAGCTGTAAAGTGCTCACCACCAGGGTGAACCCCAGGTGCTGTTGTTATTTTTATTGTGGTATTGGAAGTCCAGACAGCTCCCACTGCCCTTGGGCGAGAAGGCAGCCTTTGTCCCACCTGGCAGCTGTGCCCTCCCTGCGAATCACAGGGACCTGGCCAGGCTCCACCCAGCTGTGGTGTCAGTGGGGTGAGTTCCTGGCTCCCTGAGCTCCCTGGTGCCGGCTTCCTCTCCACATCTGGTGACTCATCCTGCTGGACCTGCTGGGCTATGGTGCCTCGAGATGCAGGGGGTACAGCCACAGGGCCGGCTCTGGGCCTTGGTTTCCTCCTCTGAGATGCCCAGCCTCCCTTGCTGTGATAGATTCTGGGCGTGGTGAAGCTGGAGACCCTTGAGAGGCGTGGCTGTGCCCTCTCACTGTGCAGACGGGAGCTGGGGTCTGGAGAAGAGAGGCCTCGCTGAGGCCCTGAGGCACCAAAAGGGCTTGTGGCCTTTCCAAAATGCACTCCTGGGTCCTGACCCAGCCCTGCTGCCAGGAGCTGCGAGCCCTGGGAC